CCAAGAGAGGTTCTTGACCCACACGTTGGAACTTAATGCCCTAGAGAAAACACAGTCCAGTATGACCTTCCCCGCAAACCATTGTGGTTAACTGGACATGGAACCACTGATTGGTTCAAAATTGAGAAAGGAGTTAGGCAAGGCTGTATACTGTCACCCTGTCTATTTAACTTATATGCAGAGCACATCATGAGAAAGGCGGGGCTAGATGAAACACCAGTTGCAATTAAGATTGCTGGGAGAAATACCAACAACCTCAGATATGCAGATGATACCACTCTCATGGCAGAAAGTGAAGAGAATCTAAAGAGCCTCTTGATGCGGGTGAAGGAGGAGAGCGCAAAAGTTGGCTTGAAACTCAACATTAAGAAAATTAAGATCATGGCGTCCAGTCTTCTCACTTCCTGGCAAATAGATGGGGAAGAAATGTAGGTAGTGACAGATTTTATTTTCTTGGGCTCCAAGATCACCGCAGACGGGGACTGCAGCCAAGAAATTAAAAGACGCTTGCTCCTGGGGAGGAAAGCTATGGCAAATCTAGACAGCATACTAAAAAGCAGAGACATCACCCTGCCAACAAAAGTGCGTATAGTCAAGGCGATGGTTTTCCCAGTTGCAATGTATGGCTGTGAAAGCTGGACCATAAGGAAGGCTGAGCACTGAAGGACTGAAGGAAGGACTCCCTGGAGAAGAGCCTAATGCTGGGAACAATAGATGGTGAAAGAAGAAGGGGAGGCAGAGGATGAGGTGGCTAGATGGAGCCACTGAGGTGGTTGGTATGAGCTTGGGTGGACTCCAGGAGATGGTGGAGGACAGGAGGGCCTGGATAAGTGTTGTCCATGGTGTCACGATGAATCGGACACGACTTCGCAACTAACAACAAGTGCAGTTAAGAGTCCTTACAATTAGCAGAGTGCACCAAAAAAGAATGGGGCCTTTTCTGTATTGGCCCCCAGACCTTCCTAAAGAAGTATACCTAAAGATTAGGTCGTTTTTTTATTCAGGATTTTTAAGGGGTCAGCATAATTTTAGGATTTGTTTTAATGGTTTTTAAAAATTTAATATACATTTTACATATGTATTACTTACTTGGTTGGCACACATTATTTAGTGCCAGAAGTGGGAAGGAATTAAGAGCCTCAAACTAACCAAATTAACAGCACCATCACATGCATTCTATTTCCACTGTGCCCCGTGGGGCTTCCTTTTGGCTGAGGGTGTGCACAAAAACACTGCCTTAATAAATGAACAACCAGGATACCTTCACTGTACACAGCCACATCCAGATTTGTGGCCACAGCGTGTGTGGAATAGAAAGGTCCCATTTATTCCTCCTCTTGAGTAAAATGGGGAATTTTCCTTTTCTGACACAGTGCTGTTTCACAAAACACAGACTCTTTGAAGATTGGGCCCATCATTGCTAAGACTGCTTTTATGTGCTTACTTGGGAGTAAGCCTCCATGAAAGCAGTAGGACTTACTTTGGAGAAGACATGTATGCAATTGCACTGTGAGCTCCTTGTTCTATACTATATAGAATAATATACAAATATACAAAATCTTTCTCTTTTTGGCCACTGTGTTATCTTACCAACTCTGTCTGCCAAGGATTCTGCAGAGAGTGAAAAATAGCCCTACCAAAAGCCATCTGGATTGGGATGGATGATGTTATTAGGGAGGAAAATGCCAGTGACATTTAAACTGATTTTGTTTCAAAATGGTAATCTCTGGAGTTACAGCTCAAGTGTGCCACCACTCTGGTAACTGAACTTAATTATGAAATGTACAAATTGCACCTAGGCACAGTGTAACACGCTCAGATGATAGGCAGGGTGGGATATACCACTAGCAGCTCCATTTCTTACCTTTTGCTTGAGAAGTTGTAAAGAGTTGTGTACAAGGCTGCAATGGTATACACATTTATTATGTCCCATTGAATAAACCTGGACCTGCCTCAAAACAAACATATGTAGGGCTGTGTTACACAACCCCTTCCATACATAAGTGTACATTTAGTGCATTCTCTTCTCTGTCTTCCTACTCTTTATGCCTTTTATGAGAGTTCTAATGGACTCCAAAGGAGTACAGGAGTATGTAGAAAGTCTAGTATACTGATTATTATGCATTTAAATATATGAATATAAAATTCAATATAGTCCGCCACAATAAAGGAACCAATTGCTCCTTGGTGTTCTCACAGATACAGTTTTGTTTGGGGTTTTCTTTTATTAGTTTAATATTTTTGTGAAAAGGGATGGGAGTCAGACCCAATTAAAGTAGGGGGGGGGGCATGCATGAGGGTTTCAGTGACCATAGACACAAGCTAAGCTATGCTAAAGGAAGTGCCTATTTCTAATACTGCCCCTACTTTGACTTTGTTAGTTGGCCTTTGGGAAACTGCTCTTTCTCAGCCTCATTCTTATCCTACATGAGGAACCCTGACATACCTTACAGGGCTGCTTTTCAGGATTACAATGATCTCACATTTGTGATGCGCTTCCAACACTCTAAATTACAAGACGCATAATAAGTATTGCAATTACATGCTCATACATTCTTGATATAATCTTGCACTTAACATGTTCGGTGCACTAGGTGGTTGGGGTTATCACCTTCGTCTTGTGTTTATTTTTCCAGGAGGTTGTGAGTGGCAGATCTCATAAGTGGTCCCTACTCCTTAGGAAAGCAGCTCCTTACAATGCACTGAAGAAATGTTCCACTTCTTTCAAATACATTTCCAATTTCTTGGAAGTTGAAGACCTCCAAAAATTCCAGTGAGGGATGATATATTAGCAGTAGTTGACCAGAGGATTTCAGATAACATTTTTACTTTAGGTCTTCACTTAGTGGGACTTACATGCAGGATGGGAGTAATTTTGAAGAATCGAAGAATGTGCAACTTCCTTTTAAGGAGGTCAATGGCAGAGAACATCCATTCGCATGGAGGTCAATGCTTTGCATTATTGCCAATATTCAGCCTTTGAATATTTGACTTGGTGGATCTTGTTTGAGCATTAGAATGTCCTTGGCTGAAGAGATGTAGCTCCAGTCAGAGAATACTCACTTGGCTTGCATGCCATGTCATATTCTGTGCCTTGTATTTCCAGGCAGAACTGGGGAAAGCTTCAGTCTAAACCTTGGAAAACTACTGCCAGTCAATGCAGACCAGCCTTCCCCAACCTGGTGGCCTTCAGAGGCATTTGGACTGCAACTCCCAGAATTCCCATCCAGCAGGGCTATTGACTTGAGAATTCTGGGTGCTGCTGTCCAAATGTCTCTGAAAGTTATGAGGCTGGGGAAGGCTGATGCAGACAATAGCGAGACATCAGGACCAGCGCTTTGACTTGGCATAAGGAAGCTTCCTATGTACCTGCATATCTGGCATCCCCTGTGCTCAAATAACTACCTTAAGGCATGTGTTTAGACTGAAAAAGGCCTACAACTCCCAGTGTGCCCCAGCCAGCATGGATGTCTTTTTTCTGTCTAAGCATGCATGCCTAGGATTGTATCTTTAATAACTGTTTAGTTATAATAACCCTTCTGTGAGGCCAAAAAAATGAATTTTCCCAGCTTACCTAACATCCTGTCTAAAACTGGAATCTGTAATGTTGCATTAATTCAGTACCTCTTGTAAGCAATTGACTTTCAGGAAATACTAAACCACTCTGCTGTTGCAGGGACTGTGTTACATATTAGTTATGAATAGATGGAGAACACTGTTTTCCTTCAAAGCTGTTAATGATGTGCTTTCAAGAGTTACATTAAACCTTGCAGCTTTTCGGTTCTGAACTTCCTTTTAAAACTGACAATTTAATTGGCATTTTCTATTGGAAAAGACAGAGCAAGATGGAACAAGCAAAGTGTATCACACAGACATGAAAGGAGGAAATATGTCCATAATAAATGTATTTTAATGTCAGAGGGCTTCAGAAGAGAACTGAAAAATACACTTGTTTCAAATAAGTAAATGGGTGCTTTCTATTAGCACGATGACATCACGGGAGAGTATTTTGCTTTTATGCAGTATTCACAGACAGATTAACTTAACCTAATCTATGCACATGTGCAGACTACATACACCGCTAGGCTGTAACTCAGAGGTACAGACTGCCCCTTCTGGGTTCCCAAGTAGCCATTCAGGCTTTCCATTCCCACAACTGTGTCTTTTTGCCAATTGTTTGGAGGTTTCTTTGCTCTTGAGCAACGTTTTCCCATTCTAGAAGATTAAGATGCTTCTCCAAAGGATAAGTTCTTGGCAGTAAGAGCTCTAAGCTAAACTAAGCTGGCCTTTCTATTTTTATTTACTTTTGGGCCTGCCCCGTCTTGCTTTGGCCAGATTCCCTTTTGCTTGAATGAAGCCCCCAAGGACTTCTCCAAAAATTTCATTTGGCCTTCATGCTGAAAGAGTTTCCCCAACTCAGCTTCTGCTGGTGGTCTGTGGTCAGACTTAAGATGAAATACACAAGTGGAGCTGGAAGAGACCCTGATTTCTATTTTAAATTACTATTATTTTTTCTTTCGCTGATTCTCAAGAAAGAAGCAAAGGTGCAATGAAAAGAAAAAGGACGCACAGCTGTAGTGAATGGGACAGAATCTGAAGGCACTGCTGTGGGGCTTTTGCATAAGAACGGCCAATGAGACAATCTTACTGAGACTTCACAGGAAAAGCAGCAACCCGAAAGTCAAGAGGAAAGGAGCAGCACTAGAGAAACAGGAACAAAATAATGAAAGATAATAATGCATAATGAATAATTAAAAATTAGGTCTGCATTGAATGAAAGTTAGTTCTTAGCCCCTGTCTGAAAAGCTGAAGAATGTATGACCCATTCTATGCTATACACCTGGACCATCTGAAGCCATCTACATATTTCTGCTGCCTTTTTCCCTTTGTAGTTAACACAATGGAGGTACCCTCCATCCACTCCCAAGATGGAACATGCCCTTGTCAACCTCTAGGGATGCTATTCACTGTCCATACTGGAAAAAGTGGCTCTTAGGGCATTACTTGTTTTGGAGCAGTGAACAGTCAGGTGTGCTTTCTGTGGGTTGCTGCACCAATTCTTCTCCTGGAGAACTGAATTTCAACCAGTTGTCTTCTATATCATGAGATGGATTGGTGCTAGATATTGGCTGTGGTTCAAGCAGGAGGATGTCTGGTCTTCCAGTGGGCCCTGGGTCCTCTTCATAAACGAGGACATGCTGTTGATCATCAAGGGGTGCTCCCGTGCTAGATAAATACTGCTTTAACCAGCTGGCAAAACATGGGATTCTCTCAGGCCCCTGTGCTTCACGGTGTCCTTTCCGGTCGGTGTCACTCACAAGAGCTTCGCCTCGGATCCCTTGTGGCTGTGCGAACGTTTCAGGAAGGAATGTTGAAGCTCCCTTTTCAGGCTCTCTTTTGGAGGGATTTGCTCCCACACTCCGTCCAAGGACATTATGTCCATCCCCTCTGATGCTGCTTCCACAGCAAGGGGCATTTCTTGGTTGGGGCAGCCAAGGTTCATAGCTGGTTAACTGTGGATTCTCTTGCCTTAACTGTGGATTGCAGCATGGTGGACTCTTCTGGAGACCTGCTGCTTCCTCTCGGAATTCACCCAGATGCTCCCTTTGATTGGGGAGCATTTTTCCCGTCTTTGGGGAATGTTTAGATTGAATGCCAGCCAGGTAGGAAGCTTGCCCAGCATTCTGAGGATGGCCACCCTCTGGATAGGCTGGGCTTCCTTTGTGTTCCCAGGAAGCAAGCCGGAATGAAGGAGCAGCACTTCTCAGCGGAGCCAGTACATTTTCCCTTGTCCCTGGAGAATTGCTTGCACAGCACAAATGGTTTGCAGGAGGGTGTGAGACTGTTCTCTGTTCAGTTGGGTAATCATCTGCATATCTCAGTGTGTCTGGATAAAATCTTCTTCTGGTGTCTTCCATAAATGCTGGGTTTCTTCTGATGTCTGAGGAATAGGTATTAAAGTAAGGTGGAACGTCTTTTTGAGAAGATGGTCGCACCATTTGGGGGACCACTGGCTTTCTTTCAGCATATTGTGGTCTTCCTTGAAGAAGAGAGGTGCTTTGTACTGCTGAGCTTGACCTCTGGTTCTGCAAATTCCTCTCGCTGTGTCCAAGCACATTGTTTATATGATATGGGCTGTTTTCTGTGTGCCTCAATTGTTCTGCACCTTGAACTGGAGACTGCTCTTCTGGGGTCCATTGGTTATTTTCCTTATATGGCAAATTACCTCTGTCATAAAATGGATTCTCTACAGAATATTTTGGATAGGTAGGAGGCTGAGGTGGATTGTATGGAGGACGATTTCTATACTGTCCATCAAGATCAAACATATGATTTTCGCGGTTCCACAGATTTTGTTCGGAATATGGTTCGTGTTCCTGCTGGGTGCTTTTTTGGTAGGTGTTCCTTTGCATTTGATTTGAAGGCAAAGCAGGAGAATATGGTAGACTTTCCCTTTGAACTGGAGGGCCTATTGTTGGAGGATCTGTCCCATCTTCCCATGCTCTGGGAAAAGTGGAATGTGTGCGTTGACCATAGGAATTATTTTCAACATAGCTGGCGTGTCCTCTGTGATCTGAAGAACCTGATGAATACATTGAGTTGTATTTCGGAGGAGCTTCTTGGAATGCCCATGAATCCTCCCGGTTCTTCCACAGATGGTTTTGTGACAACGGAAATTGTTCTCTTTCGTGATATGGATGATTGAAGGATTGCTCCTTCTGAGCATACTGGTGGGTTCCTGTTTCTAATGGAGTTCGCCTTGTGGCTGAAAGTACTCCTTGGTGGGAAAGTGTGTTTGATTGGTGCATTTTAGAAGGTTGAAAGCTGTCAACATTTTCCCTTACATTATAGACATTTTCAACTTGTTCTAATTTATTAAATTGTGGATCAAGTGAATGGCCTTCAGGTGGGGAACGATTTAGACTATTATCTCTATAGATCGATTCTTTATTCCATCGGCCTAGTGGATTAGAGCTAGGAAAAGTTCCTCTTTCTCTTTGGCCTAATGGGTTCCTTTCAGAGTAACGGGGTTGTTCCTGTTGCCCATAAGGGATAACTCTGATGTTTTCTGAGAGGTGGTTGGGGTTTGTATTTTGGAGATTACCTCTGTGGTTGGAGTTCTCTCCATAACCCAAGGAATATGTTGGGTTTTCTGTTTGTACAGAGGGATTTCGTTGAGAAATGAAAGCGTTCGGCCTCGTGTCTCCCATATCTGGGAGGGGCTGATAGATTTGTGAACCTTGCCCTGTGGACGGTTGACTACCTGAAGGAAAGCTTTGAATGCCATTGACATTTGGAGACTTAGGTCTATAGCTTGGCTGATCCATGCCATTCTGTGCCGCTGCATTCCCTCCTGGCATGAGAACAGTAGGAGAAAGTGTTAGGACTTCATTCCCACTAATCAATTTACTTTGAAGGCCTGAAGAATTAGCTGCATTGCTTATTGAACTGAGTCCAGAAATGGTAGCATTCCCTCCCTGACTGGCCTGATTAGAAATGGTTGAATTTGTGTCAGAGATAGTTGAGTTGGTTGCAGGCTCAGTTGTTTTGGGGGCTTCTTTTTCTTTGGGTTTCTCAAAATCTTGTTCAAACATCTCTTCAGAATAATAAGGAGGTCGACCTCCCATCCCATGATAGCCATATCCAAAATAGGGAGTCTACAAATACAATGACAAAAATAAATCAGTTTTAAAGCTTCATAACAACATTCTGACCAGAAATATTGTCTTAATTGTTTCAGCTTAATGCAGGTTTTCAGTTCAGATGGTTCTACTAAGAACTTTATGCCAGAGTTAGGACCTAGCAGGGACCTTCATTCATTACACAGCAATCTTAGGCATTAGAACCAGCAAATATGAAAGCTTTTGATATCTGCAACCTGGATGTAATCAAGATCCACCTGAAGGTCATGGTAGTTCCCAAGTGATCACTAACCTGTAATGCAGGATGGATCTTGTATTAGGATCCTCCATGCCTGAACTTCCCCTTACCTGCAGCCTCATATATGAATTAGCTCACACCATCTAAAATGTATTTGTTGTATTTACCCCTTCTTCATTGCTGACAGGTGGACGTCCAAATGGCATGTGCTAAGGAAACAGAAAATGAAATACGTTTGGAAGAATTTGGGCAAGAAAAATGAGCAACAAGAAAAAAGAATTTGTTAGCAACAAGAGGAACCTACAGCAAAATGTTGTAATATGGAATGGTCTTGCATTTCAGGATTTTGGCCAAATAAACCATGTGGTCTTCCAGGATATTTTATTCCATCCCATTAGCACCACACACACAATTTTCTACCAACACCCATTTCAGTACCATAGTCTGCATTTCATCAGAGGCCTGCTGAGTCCTCACTGGACTGCTGTGCTGTGGGGTCCATATTTAGAGAAGAGGTTCTGCAAAAGTGGAGTTTCCTCTGACCTTGCCACTAGCTTCAACTTATAGATAGTGTTGTTCAGGTACTCTGAGAGCTGATGTAGCTATTCACTTATTTATACCAATGGGATCTGCAACTAGGGTTGGTGCAAGGGTAGACCTGGTTGGGCACCAGCCAAGGCCCCATGGCCCAGTAGAGGCCCACTGACAAAAGCTCTCAGAGTTTCTCCTCCTCTTCACTTGCTTCTGGGTCTGCTTATTGAGGGTGGGGGCCTGCCGAGGGGTCTTGCCCTCAAAAACCTGGAGCTGACACTTTCTGTAACCAAACAGTGCAGGGTGGTTTGCATCTGTACTGAACTGCAGAAACTCCATTCCATTCCTAACCCCATTTTCCTCTTCTCTGTGACATGGCATTAATTAAACACCATCAATTAATACTTATTCATTTCATTGGGGCATTATGTCAATTGCTTAACAGGTTTTGCAATTTAATTTGTGTCAGCTATTGTAGCTTTTCAGATTCTGCTTTAACATTTCATATTGTATTTTTATGATGTTTTACTGTTAGTTCATATTTTGCATTTTATTCCATTTTATCTATTGTTGTAAACCACCCAGAGGGCTTCAATCATTGGGCGGTATAGAAATATGATTAATTATTATACAGTCAATAGTCAACAGTCCGTCAGCTTTCCAGAACCACAAAAAATGTTGTTTTTGCAGTGCTTTGGGAGGTTCACCCCCCACCACACACACACTGCTTTTTCCTCCTACTTTTTTGTACTTTTGTAAACTTTGGGTTTCCCCCAGACTGGCTGATGCCAATCTCTTGTGCTTGGGTAGTTTCATTTTGGTTACTAAAGGACTGGCACTTGGAGAATTGAGACCCTTATTAATATATATGATTCTCTGAAGCATAAACAGTGTTTAAATACCCATGACAGGCTGAAATTCATATACGTTTCTGTTTATTTTTGGACAAGAGAACCTTTGAAATCAGGTTCCATTCACCCCATTTGAAATCTTTGCTTCAGTTGCACCAGCTCACATCAAGAGGTTAAACTATTCTGCCTATTCTTTCCTATCTATCTTTTATTTATTTAACAGGTGGTATATACAGCTGAACATATTAAAAAAGATCTCTAAACAATATATATTTTAGTGGAAGGCTCAACAGCATAATGGACTTACTCCATTGCGCTCCCAGGGGAGTTCTTTGTATGTCTGATTTACTATTTACTCCAGGATAATGTACCCAGAATTGCAATTTTTTTCTAATCCATAATGTTAAAATAACAACCCTTAATCTTAAATACAGGATACAAACCCAAGCAGTGCACGGACAGGCTCATAATCTTTACAAGGGACTGTAGAACATTTCTTCCCAAATTTCCTCCAAGGATAAGTTGTAGCAGGAAGGACTTCTTCAGAGGGTATCTAAACTTGTGTCACTGCTGTGTAAAACGCACTACCATGTATTGTCACTTAACTGTGCGTGGACACATGCCAGAAAAGCCCTGCACCTCCCACAGATGGAGCCACGCTATACAATCAGCAGATTCTCCCGACGGCACCGTTCTTGGAGGGCTTTGCCCGCATGCACAGAGGCTTGCACATGCAGATGCTGTTCCTGTGAAGGGTCCTGTGTGTACCAGGCTAGCACAGGGGTGAGGAGGCTGGTTCCATGGGTTTTGAGGGCCCTGGCACAACAAACGTGCTGTGTGCTGCTCCCTCAGTGGTTCCACCTTCTCACCACCCTTTTCACCAGTGGCTATGGAACCTCCTCTTCCTCTTTCTCACCACTGTGAGCACTTGTTGCTCTATGGGCAAGGAGTCTGTGAGCAACTAGGAAGAGGTTTCGAGGTTTCTCTTGCATGCTTCCCCTTCACACCAGCCATGAGGCTGGTTAAGAACAAGAGCAAGACCAAGACCACAAGCATATTCTTCGGTATTATGACATTGGCTGTAAAGAGCTGAGGGAGCAGCATTGCCAGTCATTCCTGATTAGCTGTGGAACTGAGCTAAAAGCTTCCTCATCTGGCTCCAGCCCTCAAGAAACAGAAAGCCTTCACCAATTAAAGTTTGAATAGAATCTCTTACCCCTTGATATGGTCCAAAGAACTGTGGTTGGAAGCCTCCATGACTGAAAATCTACAGTGCAGAAGGAAAAGAGGCGTGTGTCAGAAGATGCTACTGTTGGCTGTCGTCGTTCTTATAATTCATCCTGTGATGACTTGAAGGCTGCAAGTGTTTGGGGCACTGAGAGCATTACGTGGTGTTCCCCCAACCTTCCTCTGTGACATGTTGCGATAATTGTGGGCCCTCCAGATGTTGCTGGACTGCAATTCCCCAGTGAGCACAGCCAAGGGCAAGGGATGGCAGGAAGTCCACAAGTGGTCCACCCACTGTCTTGAGCATGAAAGGCTGGATGAAAATATCACAATGACAAAGGGCCCTTCCACATTCACCACCAGGGCGAAGCTTGAGCCTGTGACATGGGACAGGAGCTCCCTTCCCTTCAGCCACTGCATGGCAACCTCCACAGAAACCACCACATATTGGCACAAAGGGCTGTTTCTACTCATGTCACCCAACCCCACCTTCTTTTCTGTGGAAAAGCCAGCAATTCCCTCTTCCCTGTGCCACCAAGGCCACCACTTGGAGAATCACAATCCGGCACATCTGGACGGCACCGGGTTGGGAAAGGCTGAACTAGAAAGGGAACAAGGAGGAGCTTCACATTGTCCGATGCACAAGCTCCTTTCACGCATCCCTTCATAGGCAGGTTAAGTCCATGGAGCGGAGAGCACTGTGTATCCCCCAGCCCTGCTTCTCTGTCACATACCCTCACATTACAGGCAAGAGCGTCTTCATAGCAGGCATCCTTTGCTGTGCTTGAGGGGAGGACGGGGATGCATGCAATGGCAGATTTCCCCCTCGGGTTTATAAGGACATGCATCAGAAAGACATGCATTTTTTAGATGACTCTGATTAATTAAGAACACTTTGTAATCCATCAAAATGCAATTGACTGTCACTCTAAATACTATAGTCATGTGCACTAATTTAGAAATATCGGCTCACCTGTGGGAAATGCCAGGGCTGCTGCGGATGCGGAGGAAATGCCTGGAGGAGAAAGAGTAGATATCATTATATTTATAAATCATAAAATTCCCTGAAAGGTCACCATGGATGAGTATGATTTAAAAAGCACAATTCAGCCTCCATTTGCAGCAATTAGGGCTATGTCTGAAATGGCCTCAATGACTCTGTTCCATTTGTTTAGTTCTAAATAAAACCGACAGTGGGAAGAATTATTCCCAAGCCCCTGTGCATTGATAAGCCAACTCGAGCCTGCTTCTCCAGTTCACACCACTAAACCCCATGGAACTCAAAGGGCCATGCAAAATTCCAGCCTTTGTTGCTAATCTTCAAAGCCCTCAACACTTGGGACCATCTTGAGACCTAGGTGACCACCATATTCACCAAATCAACTCCAAAATGGATCTATAGCCAGGAGTAGACTAGGGGACTGCCCCACACCCTTTTCTCTGCCCCTTAATTTCTTTTGTAAAGAAATAATTTTAAAAACAGTTCACAGCTTCATCTTTAAAGGCTAAAGTCAAGATAAAACTGCTCCAAAGTTCAAATTGCTTCTAGGTTTGGACTGCACACGCAGTGAAAAAATACAGTCACTGCCATAATCATCATCTGTTGCACACCCAAGTCATCTCTCACTCTCCTGGGTAACACTTGTGCAGTACGATAAATGGAATTTTCATTTTATTACACAGTACATATTTACATATTTTATTGTTTTCAAGTTTTATTAATATTTTTGGCATGTAATTGTGTTATTTTTACCTTAAATTATGCATATTTGCTATTTAAGTTTCTTGAAATGGGTATTGTTTTGGAAAGGAATTAATTCACTTTCTGGGAATGGATTAATTCACTTTCCATTAGTTTTAATGGGGAAAGTTGATTCAGAATTTGAACAATTCAGAGTTCGAATGGCCTTCTGAAACTAATTATATTCAAAATATGAGGCACCGCTGTATTTATTATTTCATCCCGTTTTCAGATTAGTTTCCATACTGTATTCTATGTATTCTTTGTGTTGACTGCTAAGAGCTTTTAGTTTATCAGCTGGTACAACAGTATTAACAAAGTCCTAAACAATGAACTACATGAGTGAATAAGCGTGATATCTAGATAACGCCAAACTACAGCCCATCTGAGGAGGCCGGAGATGATACTGCAGATCTAAAGTGCTGCTTGGGTCTGTGTGAACTTGCCCTCAGCCCCATATCTTTTTGGCCATCTTCTTAAGGTTGGGTCTCTTGTTACATTTCCTGTTCCACACAGGATAGCTGCTGTTGCTTCCTTTCTCACCATGCCAGCCCTTCAGTGGCAGCATTCCCAGGGTGGCCCATACAATCTACAACTCAGGCGAGACATTAAACCACCATTAACAAGCCGCACAGTAAATAAAGCCAGCAGCAGTAAAAACAAAACCTTTGCATCCTAAAACTCCGTGTGGTTACATTGCCAGAGGCTGCTGTGCCTTTAACTTTAGTGTGATAAGCAGAAAATTAGCACATGCCTCCTCTCCCTGGCCTGGGGATGCAATGAGGAAAGGGAAGGAGGCCTGTTCAAATGCTGATTCCACTTCTTTGGGCACAACCAGACAGTGCTTATTTTAAGCAATCCTGTAATCAAGCTGCAGGAGAGATTACAATGGAGCACACGGCTTTTTGTCCAACTTCCTTGTTTACCCGAGGCTGCTGCTGATTCCCCTGCCTGGCTTGCTGGACTGGCACCTGCCGGTGAGTCTGAGTGGGGCTGGTGTTTGGGGGTGGCTTGGGGGGCGGTTGCCGTTTTGGTTGCGGCTGCGGGTGCCTCGCTTGAGGCTGCGGATGTCTCGGTTGCTGTGGTGGTAGCTGCGACCTTGGTTGTGGCCTGCCATTTGGTTGCTTGGCCACGGGAGCTTGGTGAGGTTTCTGTGGGGGCAGCTGGGTGGCTGGACGCGGCGGGCCTTGTGGTTGCCAGAGGAGAAATCTCTGCAGAGGTGATCCGGGCTGCTGAGGGAACATCTGTGGGTAACTTGCATGGAAGCCGTACAAAGAAGTGGCCAGGTGAGCCAGCTGAAATGCAATAAAAAGTTGTTGAGGTGCCATCTTGTTTCTAGCAAGATTCTAACCCTTTCCTTGTGATATGCTCTCCGAGGGCGGTCTCATACATTGCCCCAAGAAGAAACAATTGTGCTAAATTTGCATATGCTAATATATGAAAAGGCACACATTTAATGTTATAATTTGAAGATAATTACAGTGCATCTCCAGACAACTGTGAGTATTATGCCTTCATGCATGCCTGCTCACTTCTGATGGGCCACAGTTCTTTCAGTCTTTTAATTTTTAATTTGAATTGGACAGGACTGCTCCAATAGAGGAAGCCGCCAGATGCCAATCAGTTTGCAGTCCTTCAAACAGAGGACTGGCTTCTGTAAAAGAGGGCATACTGCCTCTCTGTTTCCACTCCACCAAGCGATCAGAAGTTCTGAAGGCTAAATTTCAGAGTTTCATTTCCTTTGCATAACTAAAAGAGTCTTAATGGCAATATGTGCTTTATTTACAATATTTAAGATTGCATACAGAAGTCAAATGCACTCCTGTGAGTGGCACTGGATGGGCGACCCCCTGCTGAGGTTTCATTGTTGGGGGAAGCACATGTGTTATTTTGCCTTATTAAAAGTTTGAAAAACATTTCAAAAAGAATTCCAGGAAATGGTGATGTCACAATGGGGAATTATACTAACGGTCGATGATTAGGTGAAAAAACACATTTCTTTCTGTTGGACTGGGATTTAGCAGTGTGGGAAGGCCTTGTGTGACAATAAGCGCAGATCACCCCTCCTCCCACCTCCACGTCCACATCCTCTGCAGCGAGAAAAACAGTGGAAACAACTTGTTCTCCAAACCCGACCATGGTTTCAGAAAAATATTCAGTAGAAAGTTGAATCAAGGAACTTTAATTTAAACTGGGAAGTATGTAAATTGTTGGTTCTCAGAACCAAAAGAAGAGGGGACTTACCTGTGGTGAGTTTATATAGCCATACGGACCAAACTGCATCATCTGTGAGCAAAGACATTGGTTAGTTTGAGAGAGACCCATGAAGAATAATTACCAAGCACAATTGCTGATCGTAATTGCATTGCTGTTAATATGCATGTAGGGGTGGCTGGTGAAGCCTATGTCAGTGGGGTGCCTTGTCCACTGCAACTTTTATTTTGAACCTCACAGAGCTATCCATGGTACTTGACTTAAAAAACCCGTCCACAATGGTTTGCCATTGTAGTGAATATATTCCTGAGCTCAACAACATTGAGAGCTCCTATACTGCTCAAAACACAAACTGCAATGAATGCGGAACTGCACTGAGAAAGGGGCCAACAGTATCCACTGAATGGAAGGCACATGAAACCCCATTGACGCAACTTAATTCATGCCTTGTTGACTTCACATAGCACGATAATCATCACGGATCTGCACCACTAGAAGCCTGCAAACCTCACACCACTGATTTCAGAGCAGTCTAGCTGGTTGGAGGCTAAATGCTTTACACATTTAAATTTTGAAGTCAGTTTGAATCCATTTTAGTTGAAGTGTAGGACAAATCTGGCCAGATGTTTAATTTATAGTGGGTGGAAAAGGTTCTCAGAAATAAGAATCTACACTCAAATGCTTAAGTATAATTCCTCTGAGGAGAGGAAGCTGCCTCACACTGGTTTTGAATAATTGCTTCAACTATCCCAGTATTTGTGCTCTCAAGATGTTTGAAAGTTCAGCTTCCTGGCCGGAATCAGGGATGCTGGAACTTGAAGTCCCGAAACTCTGGGAGGCAGAAGGTTGGCAAAAGATGGGTCTCCAGGATTTCAGAGAGGGGTTTTTTAGCCCAGCTTGGGGCTGCCAAATTGAACCCGGGAACTTTGGTAGACAAAGTACATGTTCTACTGAGCCATCTCTTGTTTCAGCTGCCTTTGACTCTTCGTGCTCCTTAACTGTAAAGCAGTGACACCTAGCCGATCCTCACCGAGTCCCTGGCAGGAACCTTGATGGTGGGAGAGCAGAGGAGCCCCTGGCAGTTGCGAAGTTGATTACTGCTGGCTGAATTACTAAAATCGAGGGCGTCCTTTCAACTTGACAGAACACAGGAAATGTACTTACTTCTTCACTCTTGCTTCCAAATCCTGCCTTGCGGGGTTTGCGCAGCTAAGGTTAAAAAAAAAATATAGTGCAGCGTTATCACACAGACACAGATCTTTTAAGAAGAGGGAAGCAACACAAATTGGCTGGCTCTGAAATACTCACTGCCACAGCGCAAGAGGTGCCCATGAGGCATAGAAACAGGAGGATTCGGTTCATCCTTCACCTTCTGCACCTATTAAATAACAAATACACAGTAAACAGCTGATCACACAAGTTGGGGCTATTCCTTTTAGCACAGCGGTTTGATTAGATCATATACGAACCCTGAGTGTGGGTATCTTCAGTGTGCTTCAATGTGTTTCAGCAACTGAGTCTACATCCCAGCTATAGCCTAACACTGTGTGTGTGTGTGTGTGTGTGTGTGTGTGTGTGTGTGAGAGAGAGAGAGAGCGAGCGAGCGAGCGAGCGAGCTTCTTGTACCCCAAGTATGAGGATTCAGGGTAGGGATGGCTGATAGCTGTGTTCAGGGCTTTTTTTGTCATAGAACGCACCAGAACAGCATTCCGGCACCATTTTTTGACAGATTTTTCCAATGACGTGATTTTGAATCACCTGCAGGCTGCTTGTGTGTCCGTGCTGATTGTGAGGGCGCTGCTCGGCTTGGGATTGGTGTGTGTGGTCGCGTGCTGAGTGCGTACTGCCAGCGGCGACCATTATGTTTATGTGTGTGTAGAGTGACTGGCTACATGCAAAAGGTAAATAAGTTTTGTATTTCAAAAAAAGTTGGTGAATTGAAAATGTTTTTTAGTGCAAAAGTGTGACTCCAAGACATGGGTTCTGGCACTTTTTTTTTTTTTTCCAAAAAAAGCACTGGATGTGTTTATTCTACAGTTTAATGTAGAACCCTTACTTAATTTTGCACTTTTGAGTCACCATGCAAATAAACACAACTATCCTTCAAAATGTGCTCTTCTCTGAATTTGGAAATAATGTCTTCCAATCAAAATATCCATATTAAGGGAAATGACATAAAATGCATTCAATTATGAAGGCTGCTTGCAAAAAATATGTGCATTAGGCAAAATCCATAGAAAACACATGCATCTTGTTCAGAAATACACAAAACACTTCTGAATTTTCAACAAATGGAAAATGAAAACGAGCCCCAAAGTTCATGAAGAAGCAATAAAAATTGTTGTGATTTTATTGTTACAATTTATAAAGCTTAATTTAATATTATTGTCTCATTATGTATGTCATCATTATTTTATTATTTTATTTTGTAACCCACCCAGAGATTCATTTTGGCTAATGGGTGGGATAGAAAAATAAATAAATACAGAAATAAAAATAAGCAAATTTAAGATGGAAAAATTGAGGTAACTAAGGGGACAACAAAACTGACAGAATTTTTGGAATTTTCTAATTCAGAGGTATACTTACTGCCTCAAACCTGAGGATCCCAATCAGCTTTCATGACCAATATTCCCTGACAAAACTATTGCCTATGGATTTGCCTAATTCCCTTTTAAAGCTGTCTAAAGCTTGTGGGTATAACTATATCTTCGTTCCGTGACTTCCACTGATCAGTTATATATTTTGCAAGGTGAAGGCATGCAGTGTTATAAAAGAGCTTAGTAACTTCAGTCAAAGAGATCTTGCTTTTATGAGATTGCCTCTTGGTTAAAATCTCCCAAATATCTTCTTGGTTATAGGCAGTTACCTGAAGGTTATGGGTCAATATTTTTTATTTATTTGCACCATTTTCTTATTCTTCACATTTTGGCCTGCTCTTAAGCCAGAAAGTCACCCTCCAGAGACATTAGGGCTCTTACAAACAAAACAGTTCTAAACAAAGACAACCCTGAATCGTAGCCACTGTATGGGATGGTCCTGAAAATAGCACAGATTTCCCCAACTAGATGCCCTCTGGAGGTGCTGGGTTACAATGCCTAGCCTCCCCAGCCAGTGTGGTTATGGGAATGCTGGGAATTGCAGTCCATCACATCTAGACAGCACCAGTTTGAGAAACACTGAAGTAGGGCATTCTGCTAGAAGACAATGGAAGGCCAATATAAGTTGGATTCCGACAATGTCATAATTAAAACAGACTCACTGGAATCAATCTTAGCTACTATAGTCTGGATCCAACACCCTGCCTTTGTGACTGTTAAATATTATTTTGGCTAGAGCAGAGCTTAAGCTAGACAAGAAGTCATGGACACACCATAATGTTACTTTCAATTCAATGGCACACATAAGGCCATTGATTTTACAAAGCTTAAAATTTACTTGAAAATTTACTTGGAAGTAAATGGGCTCAGTAGGGCATCTGAACCGACCTATCTAGGGCTGTGTAACTGTCTGGCTCCTCTTCAAAATGCCAGTGAAGATCAGAAAACATTTACAGTCAATCATGTAATAAAATGTTTCTTGGACTGTACTACACTAAGCTCCAGGCAGACTGAATTCTGCTAACATGCTTGTTTCTTTTTAAATGCCTTTCTCATGTAGAACTAACATACTTAGGGTGAAGAATGCTAGACCCATGTTTCTTGAGATCTCATGTTCCATGGGCACAGAGATTCTTTGATAATTATTCTGTCACATCCTCCTTCTAAAGAGATAATAGTCCTAGCAATGATTTATCTCATCATCTACTGGAGAGGGGCTCTAAGGCAGGGGTGGGCAAAAGGCAAATCTCCAGATGTTTTGGACTTCAGCTCCCATAATTCCCTGGCAGCATGGACAACGGTCAGGAATGCTGGGAGTTCCAAAGCATCTAGAGAATGCTCCTGCCCCCCTACTTCCAGTCCTGTTGAGGGGTAATGAAGCCAACAGAGACTTTGATACTTCAGGACACAGTCATGGGCCTACCTGGTAACTGAGTACTGCTTGCCTTACTGTGAAGCCTCAGCACTGCAGCGAGCGGAAAGGCATATTGCTAAAGCTAGGGACACCTGGAAGAAAGTAAGAATACTGTCCATTTGTGATGTTCAAGGCAGTAGAGCTCTCCTGAAGACTGTCTTCCAGAGACGCTCCTCGATTCTGCAAAGCATCCCATTACCCCACACTCTTGTTCTCAATCCGAGAAGCCCAAGCAATACCCTTTGCAGGGCTGGATATGACCCCAGGGCCTCCAGCTGCAGATCCCTAGTTTAATTTTTTTGAAATGATTAATCTCGCTACCATTTCTGAAATTGCCTTTACAGCAACAGATGATTCCTGCAGGGATTCTGCAGATGACATATGTCTGAGCATACATTCTGCCAATGTCCCATCAACAGGCAATGTGATTCCATTTATCTGATTCCATTATTTTCTGTAGAAGTTACTTCCAGGTAAATGTGCTTAGGACTGACATAGGGTAGTAATTTATGACTACACAAAGTTTAATAAATGTTTTCCCAGAATAGGCACAAGGGAACATCATGACACTGCTATTTTTTCAAGCATGAGGTATATCCATAGCTGTAGACACATTTCACCTCTCTGGTTTGAGAGCCTAAGAGCTCTGACATAAGCAGAAACTCTTAAATCCAGGAAAGAGATTTGCATACTAACCTAGGAAGATTTATCCACAATTTTCTCCAGCAAAGTGGCATCAGCTGCTATGCAATGTGCTAGAGGAAATCCCAAGAGTACACATAACTTTTTCAGGATAGTCTGTGGGAACATGATTGTGTTATTCTAGGAGTAGAATCTAATGTATTACTATCTAGAAGTGACACACCTTCATTTTTTTTAGAAAAACAGAATTAGATTACCAATCTCAAAGTACTGGAAATCTGATTTTTTTTTCTTCATTGCATGGGCATTGGAAAGGAAGTTCACTGGAATATTCAGGCAGTATAGATAGAAATCTCCAAGAAACATAAAATCACCAATGATCTGTAACAATTTAAAACAGCAGTTCTGTGTAATCATGGCATTATGGATATTAACTAAATTAATTCAGTAATGTGCAAAATAAACTGGGTACAAGCCATTCTTTAGTCTTTTAACTTCTACATCTCAAGGTGCAGAACTTTACATTCTACTGTAGACACTACTGGCTTCCAATTTTTTCTTTACTCAGGTTGATTATCTAGTAAACATTTGGTGCTTAATCAATCTGAACTTAAACACATCTAAAGTCCACAGACCACAAGGAATGCATTTGTTTAAATTCCTCCTATGGAAATTAATGGCATTTAAAAGATTGTAAATCTTTTCTTGGATTATACCATTCATTTATAAAATAATTTATATAATGAAATTTATTTTGTCACACTGCATTTACAAACGTAAGGCCTAAAAAATGTAGCATTAATCCAACACAGAAGACCTCCACTACTTTGTTTGCCTTTTAAGCATTAAGCACTAGCAAAGTGCAATTCAAATTTCAAAGTACAAAGTGAATATTGGATAATAATAGCAATATGAATTATAAATACCTCTTATGTTTGGGAAAGTAGTCTTAGGATTCAGAGATGGGTTACAGAAAACAACAGCAAAGACTGCAAATCCAAGCAATTTGCTCTCCATTCTAAAGTTATCAGCAGGGCAATATTTAAATGTTGCTTCAGAAGCTTGGAGCCAATCAATTTACAGGAGACATTTTACATCATTCTAGGCTTTAAGGCTGATAGCTGATACAGTATGTAAGATTTTGGATGTGTTATTATAGGAGCTGACAAATCCCTAAGACTCTTATTATGTTTAATAACAAGTTATGGTGAGGGGGGAAGCTTACAGTGCAATCCTATACAAACCGACTCAGAAGTAAGTCTAATTGAGTTCAGTGGGGCTTACTCCCAGGTATAGGTTTGCCGCAGGAACAGTAACATCAAAGTCTCACCAACTTATTTAATTAATATATGTTTACTTATTGCACTGAGGGGAAAGCAAATTCTAGGAGAAGAAGGGTGAGAGAGAATACCAAAGTTAGCCATTCTAATCCATGAGTAAAACATCCAGAATACAAAGGAAAAATCCAACCTCTAGAGATAAGCTGTAGCTTTACTAGGACAAACCAAAAAGCTTTTTAATATAATCAAACAATGTATGTTTATCTATAGGAATATCAATCCACTAAGGCATGGTAAATTGCAATTGATGCATCTAAAATGTATAAAGTACATTCGGAAACACGTCCTGCAATTCAATGAGCAGCACACACTGACATTTCCAAGCATCAAATCCTTAAAAGGACAGAACACCACAAGTATATATTT